CTTAATAGTTTGAGGATTATTTTTCTAACAAATCTATTAAGGGGTTATTTTTCAAGAAAAATAATTATTAGGGGTTTTTATATAATAAATTAGTAATGCCTTAAAAATCATTATGGCAACGTAGTTTGGATATAGGAATCAATTTGATGAGATGTTTAGGGAACTTTTCAAGGCAAAACCTTTTAAAAATAATAATTTAAACCAATATTCCAATCCTTTTTTTGTGAATGTTAGCTCTCATTACAACTTTGAAGAATTTGGTTGATGCATCATCATACATGCATATGAATTGCACGTGCTGATTCATTTTGTAAGTCCATGGAATATGGACGACACAAAAATCACATACAAACCCCCTTTTTCCTTCTAGATTTCTATGTTTGTTGGGAGGGGGGAATGGTTCTATTGATACAAGAATTAGATTGTGGTGATTAAGGTTGAAGAGCGTTCATTGTATAAAGTAATTATTTACAAATAAGCAGAAGAATAATGAAGAGCAGAGGGAGTAGAGATCCCATTTGACAAAATATACATACGTTTGCTCAAATGTAAGGCCTATAAAAAAATAATACTTCTTTTGTTGTTTTAAACAAGATTGAAAGGAAAAGGGACATGCACGTGTGGTGGTGGGGCTTTTAGGATAAGGAGGCGCACGTGGGCTTATGTGTTTTTTACCATTTATTTTCCCTTAGCCTGGGACCCTCACCTATTTTATCATTCTGTCAGTGGTAAAGTGGTGTTGAGTTTGACAAAATTGGCTTGTGCCCAACACCGGAATATTACATTTCCCTATTTCTTGCTCCTTAAACTTAACATAATCTTAAATTAAAAATATGATATTAAATAATTGGATTTTAAGTTAATTTTTTATTAATCTAATATAAACATAAGATAATAATTTTTTAAAAAAAATTCTCAATTATTTAACAGTAAACACTAACATCATTGATATTCATAATATTCGAATTCAATATATCAAAAAATAATATTATCGAAATTACTTAATTTATGATTAGATTAAAAAATATTTAAAAACATAAATTGATGTGACAATCACGTATAGTTTACACATATGGCCCACCTGACGTCATATATTTTTATTATTTTAAAGGTGTGTTTGATTCACGGAATTGAAGATTACCAGGGAATAAGATTACTGAAAATATTATATTTTGTGTTTGGTTGGCTTAGCAGGAATGTAAGATTACCGTGTTTGGTTAAAGGAATAAAAGATTATTCGAATGTATATTTAATCAAATTATCTTTATTATATATTTATTTTTTTTAACAAGTTAGAAAATATTTATATATTTTCTTTAAAAAATTTAAATTCATAAAATTTATATAATTTTTTTATAATATTTAAAATATAAAAAGGTTTAATGAAATGATAAAATTTTATTTTAACTCCTGAACTTCATTTAAAATTTTAATTATAGAATTTTTTTATAAATCTAAAATAGTTTAAGGATAAATTTGTAATTTAACATTCGTAAAACTTTTATTATTCAATAACAGAATAATGATATTTTTGAAAGAAAAAAAATTAAGAGCATTTTAGTCCAAAACATCAATAATCTAATAATATCTCAGGAAAATGAGGTAATAATATTCCCGGTAATATACCTCACAAAATTCACTATTAATAATCTTACCTTACTGGGAATGGGATTCCCGAACTAACCAAATGGGGAATATAAATTTTATTTCTATAAGAATCTCACATTCACACAACCAAACACACCCTAAATTCATAGAAAAAGACATGAGGGAGAGGGTTTCGGGTGGCGCACGTGAACATGGGTTGCGAGTTGTGCTCCTATAATTCAACTTTACCACATGTAGTTTTGACCCACTTTTTCAAAAAACTTGGACATTATTTAAGGAAATTTGGATAGAGTTGTTTAGGTTTATTTATATTTAAGGTTTTATATTTTGTATCTTAATTATTTAGATAAAACATGCAGTATACTTTTATGTAATTGGTGAATTTAGAAATTTAAGAATATATTTTAAAATTTTTAATTTCCTTTTTTAAAATAAAATTTTTAAAATAATGGGTATGTAAATATTTTATTTTTTTAGCACGTTAAGGTTAATTTAGTCATTTTCTCAAATAATGGTACAGAGGCCAAGTGCATCTGCCCCTGCTTCTATGTATGCAATAAATTTACACATATCACATAAATAAATAATTTATAGATATTAAAATTCGATAAGAAATAATTTTTTTTCAAATAACATGAGTTAATGCTGTTTGGTCAAAGACAACAAAATTAAAAAAGAGAGGTTATGATGGAGACCTAATAATAAATGTAATTACTTTAGTAGTTTAAGTTGACAACAACTAAGTTTTGATATGGGTTTGTTTTAGGCATTGTTTTGAAAATCGGATCGGATCGGTTGGTTTAATCGGTTCAATCGAGAATCGTTGTTTAGTTCGGTTCAAGTTAAACCGGTTGAACCGCTATTAGTCAACCGGTCGAAACTGTTGAACCGTTCGAACCGGACCGGTTGAAAACCGGAAAAAACCGGAAAAATGCCAATTTTGTTTTTTTTTTAAATTAAACCAAACGACGTCGTTTGTTAAACGAGCCAAGTCGAACTCGAATATTGCTGAACTCGACTCAAACTTTAAAAGTAAGCTCAATTCGACTCAAACTCACGAACTAAAAATTATCAAGTTCAACTCGAACTCGAAATATAATATTGAAACTTGAACTCGAAAAGACTTGAACTCAAAAAAAATTTAGAAGCTCGATTGAAGCCTAAAATTCGAGCTTGATTGAAGTGAAAGAATAGTTCACTCTATGCTCACCAAAAGGCTCCATGATTTTGAATGTCAAATTACATCTATTATTTATAGAAGTTAGTTGGGATATTCTTCTATGTTTCTTAGCCATATGGATTGTTTTGTTCTCATATTTTTACTCTTTAGACTTTTGGGATGTTCTTCTATGTTTCTTAGCCATATGAAATTGTTTTAAAAAAAAAAAATAAACCAAACAATATCATTTTGTTATGATTTTTTTAGCACCAAATTTATTTTTTAATTATAGTTATATAATTATATTTATTATTTAATATGTTTTATCTTAAATATTATGTTGTAGTTAATTTGAATCATTTTGTTTCACTTGATTTTATGGTTTTTAACTCCTATATGTTATGACTTGCTTTGAATATGACTTGTGATATACAAAATTATTTTTTATTATATATTTTTGGTATTTTTATTTAATTTTTTAAATAATTATGACGTCGTCCGGTTCTTCCGACCGATCGGACTGATTCAACCGGTTGAACCAGTGAACCGATAGCATGACCGATTCGCTAACCGGTCCGGTTCCGAAAATCATAGTTTTAGGGCATTACCTAGTTGGCTAACCCCAGTATTAATAAAATAGGGTCAAATTTGCCAATTTGTAACCTGGGAGAGAAAATAATTGGATAACTAAACTAGTTTGCAATGTGCATTATACCATCATTACTATGTTATGTGGTCATAAACATGAATGTAATAAAATATCTCTTACCCACTTTAAGTTGGTTGTTCGTTTCCTCCTAAAATGTACTTATATAGGATTGGTCAAAGCATCCATCATGTTCTTGTATTTACACATTTAAATAGGGATTATTATTAATTTAAACCTTTAAATTTTGATTTATTTTTATTTTACCCCTCATTTTCTGTTGTTAATTATACTTTGTCCCTGAACTAAAATCTAATTTCTTTTATTTTTCTAGAATGTAATTGTCAGTTTATTAGACCCGTCATCCTAGCACCCAACTCAAATTCTTTGATAATTAACCATTCAAATCAAACCCATAATAATGAGTGTTATATTTTTTATAATTTCGATGTGCAATAATTACATAAATTTTGATTATAATTGAAATTGAACTAAAGTTCTATAAATCTTAATTGAGTCTAAAATTAAGTTGAATTTGGCTTTAAATAAAAGAAAAACTCTACAAACACTGTTTTGTTTTGTCTATAACACTCAAACCCAATGGTGAAATCATGATCTTCTAGGGGTTAGAATAGAAGTATAATTTTTTTGGAGTCAAAGTGTAATTTTATCGTTGTACTAGTTTATAATTGGATAAACTGTGTATTTAGTAACTTAATTATTATTGTGGTTCTGGTTTGATCACCCAACTATCCAAATAAAACTAATAAGACTAAAGGGATTTTTTTTTTTTTCATTTTGAGACTAAAATTAAGGAATATCTAACTTTTTACCGTTTAACTCAATATATTATTGGTTTTTTTTGGAAAGAGGGAGTTTTGTATGTATTAATGGGGGAGTAAACATACAAAACGGGACATCGAGAAAGACTTCATTAAAAAACCTCCATAATCTTAATTGAAGTAAAAAAAATGCACCAATGTCGATACAATACGTTATTAAAACATAACACTAACTCATCGTACTCAATTTCAGGATCTTATTTAAATAGTATCGTGCATTTTACTACTTAACCTTACATATATTGGTAAAGGTATGCTTAATTAGCAATTAAAGTGAGTAAGGTGACATATATTTGTCAAAAGTAAGCTTATTTTGGCAATTAAAGTGAGTAAAATTACAAGAAATAATCTTGCTTAAGTTGTTTTCCTTAGCCCTATGGGCATCTCCATTTGTATGCACAACTTGTGCAACCAACCCCATTGTCTACAACTTGAAGCAGTTCATGTGAAGGCAGTCAAAAAGACTTTGGGAAAAAGCCCTAGGGCTATATCCCCATGAATTTAACATCTAACAAAACCCATGGAGTCAAAGTTGATTGGATCTCTTTTCCCTCAAGTAACCTATGTTTTTTACTTGCATCCCAATTTTGAAATCCTGGGAAGCTTATGAATCTCTCTACTTCTATTTTCACTTAATCCAAATGAAAACTGATGGAAGTTAAATATCAGTTGCTTACGGTAAGCATCTAAACGCATACGAAGTAATTCTCGACACAGAAAGCAGCAGGTATAAAAGAATAGATACTTTTGTTAAATAATAAACTAATAACGATTTGATTCAAGCTATCTAATTTACATGTAGGCCACAAGGCCAACGCATACAAAAATTGTTCCTTTTTTAACTCTCCGATAACATCTGCCGCCAGTATTTACACTCCACCAAAACAACAAGAAGAAGAAAGAAAGAAAGAAAGAAAGAGAGAGGGAAAAAAGAGCTCCCCAAGGGGAAAGGGGGGTGGGGTTTCAAATTCAATCATGCCAACAAAGGAGCATAACAACACATCTTCGGATAATATAAAGTTTAGCCCTTTGCTCTCGGAGAACACCTCCAAGACCTCTGCTTGATAACCTTCTCTTTGAGGATCCCATGGTAGCACTGCTCATCTTCATGTTTGTAGGAGCTAGGTGGTGCTGAGTACTTTTGATGATTGAAATTGAATGCAGAGAGAAAATGAAGTGATGGAAGCGATGTGGGAGTGGGGGGGAGTTCTTATAGGATGGAAGTGGGGGATGGCGGGTTTAACATTGGTCGAGTAAGACCCAACGATGGACATGAAAGGGCAACGTGCACTGCCCTCTAACCCACCCGACGACAACTCCTCCTCGACCCCACTGGTCCCCTTGGGAATCCACTGCCTTTTTTATATTCTCAATATCATCAACTTGCAGTTTATTGTTAAATAACTTAATTTAACTGCTAATTTTGTTTGTCTTTTTGATGCTATTATTGAATTTAATATTTTAAAAAATATATTTTCATAGGTTTTAAATATAAGATATTTTTAATTTAAAAATTAGATAAATATTAGAAATAACATAAATATACCTCATTAAAAAATATTTTCTAATATGACACTCAAAATTGATTAATTTTTAAATTGATATTTTTTGTCACATAAACAAATGTGCATTTTGAAAGAAGCATCTTCTATTGAAATCGGTGGGATTGTGCTAAAATAAAAGAAAAAAAGATGGGCCAAAAATATGAAAAATATATATGAATTTTGTCCAAAAAGAATAAATGCATGTGATGCATATCAAAGGCACATAATTATAAGAGCATGAGCTTGAGGTCGTGGGATCGAGTCATACGGAGGGCATTTCATATTTCGGAGATCTTCTATGGAAGCCGCTCTCAACCTGGTGTTGGGAGCAGCCTACTATCTTACCTCCCCTTACCCCATTATATATGAGAACAAGGGACATTCATTATGAGATTTAAAACCCTCCATAAGCTTCTTAATAATCATATTGTGTAGACGCATTGTTTCCCAATTGTTTAAATATAAATTTTTAAACATGCATCTATTAAGTGATTAAACATAAAGCTAATACACGCGCATTATTGTTGTTGTCTGGCTCATGCTCGTGTAATTACATATCTTCGAAATGTACCACACTTTTTTTTAATTAATATACTTTTATTTCATAATTTTTATCCATCTTTTTTCTTTTCTTTCAATTAAACCCAACCCAATCGACTTCAATAGAAAATATTCCTTGCAAAACGCGTCTACTACCACATTGAAAAAGACGCTTGCTAAAAATATGGGTGAGCAAAACTCGACTCAACTTGACAAATCGTTTTTTTTTCAATTTCGAGTTATTCTAGTCGAGTTATTCGAGTCAACTCAAATTTTTATTCAATTTTCGAGTTCAAGTCGAGTTGAGATTTTTCCAACTCGAATAACCGAAAAATCAAAATTCAAAACGACGCCGTTTTGATATTTAGGTTTAATATTTCAAAATTGTAACATCCTAAACACATAGTTAGTGACCAAATTGTAAAACTTCAGAATTTAGTGGTTAATGTAGATAAATTGAAAAGTTCAGGGTCTTATATGATTTTTTTTGTGTAGGATTGAATAGCAAAGAGGGATGATTTGAAGGGCAAAATGGTCATTTGACCAGAAAATGAATCAAAAAAATGTGAATGAGTTAAGATATATACACGTGGAGATTTGAAGAAGGGAAAAGAAAATATCTAGAGTTCTCTTCATCATTCTTCCTTCTTTCAGCCGTGCTCCCAACTTGGTTAAGGTAAGTTTCTTGTTAGCTGATTATTCATTGAATTTATATTTGGTTTATGCTCCTTAGATGATACTTAAGCTTAAGGAAAGCTTAAGTTGTCTTAAAATCAAAAGATAAAAGAGTTAGAAAGGATTAAAGATAAGAGGTTAATAAGTGAAATATTGGAAGAGAGTTAGTAAGTAAAGTTTGAAACTAAATTTGAATTGTCATCAGTTAGATTAAGGAATATAAAGTGTTAGAATTGAGATTAGAGCATATTAACAAGTTATAGAATTCTTGATTTCAAGATAGAGGATGCGATTTTGAAGATAAAGATATGTTATATGAATATAAATTGATTTGAGTATATGTATTTAAGTATATGAAAGGGGGTGAAGGAATGAAAGGTTTAGGTTGATATTGGTAAATTTCGGGTATAAAAAGTGATTTCTGGGCTATGGGTATCCGTACTGATTCATTCAGTACTGATACTTCAAAGGATAAAAGAGTGATATTTAGAGTAGAGGTATCGATACTAGTTGAACAGTATCGATACCATAAGCCAAAAATTAGATAAGCTATTCAAGGCTATCGATACCTAAAGGAGTAGTATCGATACATAGGGTACCGATACCATAATGCAAGTATCAATACCATTTTTGAAATAAGGATTCCATAATCGAAAATGGGCATCGATACCCAAGCTCGGTATCGATACCAAAACTAGGGAAGTATCAGTACCATATTTTGGGTACCGATAATACTCAAAGTGGAAAATTGAATTAAGCCTTTCTTTCGGCTTAAGTTATTAAGGATCAAATTATAATACCTAAAATTCTGATATGTATATTAAATGTATAATTATGTAGATATCGAGCATAATCAAGTTTTGGAACAATCGAAGAGTTAGAAACAGTCGAAAAAGAGATAAAGTCATAGAATCAATTCGAATAAAGTGAGGCTAAGGTGAGTGCATATTATAGTTAGTATAGATGTTGTTTTAAGGAAATAAAACTTGTGATAAGTCTATTTCTTATACTTGATTTCATGATTCCATATTCATGAACATGTATATGAAATGATTATAATGAGTACATGCATAACTTATACATGCTTTAATATGATATGATATGTGATGAATGCAAACATAAGATAATAAATCCAAGCTATATGTTATAAGAAAAGTGATCATATGTGTACATATGAAATATGAGATGTGGATATATGATAAATGATAGAAAATATATGAAAATATGAAACGTATCAATATTTAAGCCCATGTTATGTGATATGAGAGTTGTAGGTATAATTGGCATGCCAAGAGTCGAGGGTTCTATGTGGTCCTTCGGGATATGTATGTAATCATTTGGAACATATATGCGATTCTTCAGGACACATATTTGGTCCTTTGGAATATATATGTGATCCTTAAGGAGTTGTCATTCGGGACAAATTCTATGTGCCCCTAGTATGAATTTATACGAGTTGTGGTGACAACATATGTGCACAACCTTAATGCACTCACGTACCTCAGGTTCTCAGTAATGTACATGGGCATACAAAAGAGAAATCGATTTAAACACCTCATAAGATGATATGTATTATTTGTGCATTCCATGATTATATATGTTATGGTTGAGTAAATATATGCAAATTGTAATTTCATGTTGGAATTATAGGATTGCATATTTCATGAATTCATTAGTACATGATATATTATTCCTCACTAAGTCTGTGACTTAGCGTGTGAGTGTTTCACACGTAGGTACCAAAAACAGGAAGACCAGAGTTGAAGTCTAGGAAGGCAAAATCTCTTTTGAAGACGATCAGATCAGAAGTGATTTAAAACAGTATATCATTTTGTTACAGTAATTATGTTGGCATGTAATTACAGTTTAAATCATATATGCTATGATTGATTTTGTAATTATTTTGATGATATTTATGTAAATTATTTCACTGTTATTTTAATAAAAGTTTAAATTTTATGAGATTTTGTGAAAGTAAATGTTTTAAAAAGTTAATGTGACACCTCAGATTCGTATCTGGGTCAGGTACGGGTTGGGGGTGTTACATTTAATGGTATCAGAGATAAGGTTTAGCCGATTCTAGGCATAAAATGAAGTTTCTAATGTCTTTAAATGTATACATGCTAACAAAATAGTGAGAACTACTGATATGATAGAATAATGAGTATATTGTCTTGCTAATAGAATTATATAGTTGTGTCTTATTAGATGTCCGAACATGATAACTCCCAAAGTAAAGCGGAAGATGATAGGCCCATTGAGAGTAGTAATTCACCTGCCCTGGCCAGGCAAGGTGAAGAGCATGCACCTTCTAGAGTGCATGTAGGAGATCAATATGTTTTCTTCAGGACGTTGGACTTTATCCTGACGCTTTTCCAGCCTCATGTCTCTTCAACTCATAGAATGAATGTTGCGAAGGAGTTAAATGGATTAGGAACTCCAGAATTTAAGGGTGAAGCCGAGGAAGGTCATGTTGTTGCGGACCTTTGGCTCAATGATGTGAAGATTGTGCTTGATGGACTCCACTGTTCTGATGTGGAGAAGCTAGATAGAGTGGTCGTCTTGCTCCGAGGGCAAGCGAGAATATGGTGGAACAATGTTACCTTGAGGATGACCAGTGATCAGGTGACTTGGTCCTTATTTTTAGAGGAATTCAAGAACAAGTATATATGAGATTAATTTATCCGACAGTTAAAGCAAGAGTTTATAAATTTGAAGCAATGGAATCGCACAGTGTATGAATATAAGCGTGAGTTTAACAAGTTAAGCGACTTTACTGTCGAACTTATTCCGACAGAGAATGATGCTTGTGAGTGGTTTGTGGAGGGCTTACGTCCTTGATTGAAAGAGGTATTGATTGTGTTGAATCTGTCCTCATTCTAAGTAGTAGTTAATCATGCCAAAGCTCTAGAAAGGGCTCAGAATGAAAGGTTTAGAGATCAAAGAGACCAGACATCTAAAAGAATGGGTGTTTCTTCGAGTTTTGCACCATCAAAAAGGGGAAAAGATGTTGGTTCTCGATCCAGGCTAGATCTGAGTCAGTTGCATTCTCTGCTATAGGATCAAATCCGATGAGAGCTAGACAGACTCAATCTGTAGGGTCTGGAACTGGGAGATCTAATCAGGGCCAAATTAGACAGTGTCCACATTGTGGAAATAATCATCTTGAGATATGTAGAATGATTTTTGGAGCCTGTTTCAAATGTAGGGACACCGAACATTTTATCCGAGACTGTCTAATGATGGCCTGAGAGCCTGCGTAGTTAGAGCGATCTGCTTCGATGACTTATAGAGAAGGGGAAGAGGTAAAGGTAGAGGAAGAGGTCAACCTGAATCCTCTACTCAATAGGAGATACGCTTGACAGCTCGGGTTTACAATCTAAAGACTAATGAAAATCGAGATGACCCGGAGATTATTGCAGGTATTTTT